TCGCCATAGTCGAAAACCTATACGAAAATTTGTTTCTAACCTTAAATAGTGGAAATTGGCGGGTCAATTTTTCGCAAAATCGGGTCTTCTTGGAGTGACCATATCTTCTGCAAAGTTCGACATAAAAAATTCGATCGACCCCAATTCTTGTAGCTCTCGACAAGACGAATCTAACCATCAGAATAACATGTAGCTTCGCAACAGTTGCTGATCCGGTGGGACGTCCACAAGATCATGTGCACCCCCAAGGGTCGAAAAACTGAGCTCAAAAACTTGGGTTGGACACAGTTTGTAGCGCTGAATTTCCTCTATCCATAACAGAAAACTACGCCTTTGCATCATGTACTAACCGAAGATTATTAAGAAAATGGCCTTCCGCCTTTTAAGTTGAAATGGATATTAGTCGTGGTAATTATTCTATATAATACTCACCCTCAAAATTAGATTTAGATAGATCTACGTGTAGACGAAGTATGTGATTGATCTTTCTCTATTTATAAATATTAAAGAGTAGAATGACATGTGCGTGCAATCAGAAAATATAACGAAGATAAAAGAATGTGCACTAATTTTATTGAAACATAAAAATATACATGAGAATAAGAAAAGACAAAAAAGAAATGAACGGACGAGACGGACTAACCAATATACAGTTGTCTAGGGAATCATCAACATGAAGACATGACTGAAGAGATAAATGCTTGTGGCGGAGAATTCCGCTATATGTGCAATTCAGATGCAAAAATTTGTACTTCAACTGAGAATATTCGAATGGACAAATGGATGTATCACTTTAATCTCACGAAATATTCATACGAATTGTTAGAATATTGTCAAACTTTTTTTTTCATAATCATATATTCATAATTGTCACCAGTATAGCAAACTTCACCTTGCGAAATATGTTTCACCAAGACCTGTATATGGATGAATTGCAACTTTATTGCACCGTTTTGAGAAGAAAATCGATGAAAAAAAAATTTCCGATTTTAGAGATTGGGAGTAGTGCATCTTACTACACTATATGAGAGATGGATATGAATAAATTTTCCCGACTACCACTGTTAAATTGAGTATAGATCGTGTATACGCATCTTTCACAGCAAATTTATTAACTCGTGAGGAATGTGTTAGAATTAGTTCGCGTGAGTAGTGATAGTCACTTAAACATGAAAGCGACTAATATGCCCTTTATTCACCGTAATCTCAGTTACTGGATAGTTATCCACATAAAAATCTCATCTGGCACTTTTTTGAAAAAATCTCGTGTGACCGTTTGCCAACAATCTCGTGTGACATTTTTACACTATTTTCCTCTCTATTATGCGAAAGGAGCATTTTCTAACCGTGATATTTTCACCAATATCTGGCCACAACTAACAAATAAAATGATAAAAATTTCAGCTCAATATGCCTTAATTTACAAGAGTTAATACGACACACAAAGTATGAAATCTCGTGTGACATTTAGTGTGACAACTATATTTTCAAATTTTATTTAATGTCCCTTTCTTAATAAGAATAAGTAAAACTTTCGAATCATCTTTGGTAGTTTTATTCTCCACTGATAAGCTTTCATTCAAAACCAATCCGACAAATTTTGAATGCTTTGTTATATAGCAAAGGCGTTTTTAAATCTCGTGTGACACCATATTGACCATTGACGGTACACCTGATATTCGAAAAAAAGTATAACATAAACTGCGATGAAAGAACTAGCCAGTCTCATATCCATGATGTATACACTGTTCACTGTAAATGTCAAAAACTGTCAAAATTCAAATGACAAGAAACCAATTAGTGATGGGTCATTTTCTGTCCATAGGTGACAGTAGAAATCAGCCATTTTAACCTTGTGTATGCAGTATCTCGGGATAGGCTAATAATAAATTCGTGATTTTTTGTGTGGTAGTGAGCATCAACTACGGCAGCATACTCCGAAATTTTCATAGAGATTGGCCAAGAGGAACTGAAGTTATTAAAGTTTTACATATGGAACTACGAACGGTACAATAAAGTTGCAATTCATCCATATGTATTTAGAAATGCATAGAGGGATATTTTAGACGCAAACAATGATTTTATATAGAACAGACCAACATGAAAAATTATCAGAATTTTATATTGTTCCTTGAATAAATGAAATCGGAATCAAGATTTTGTCACATTCAAAATAAAAAATCATCACAAATCTTTGACACTATGTATACGTGATGTTATTTTATTGCATTTTTTGATCTATTTGTTTTGAAAATTAAAAGTTCCTCTTAGTCAGGGTTGCCAGATCTTCTGAAATGGCAGGAAAGCTTCTGAATTTCAAAACTTTTTCTGATTTTTTTCTGACGTTCTGATTTTTCTGATTTTTCAGGTTTTTTCCGATTTTTCTGGTTTTACCATTTCGCTCCGATACTTGTCCAAATTCTATTTCTAAATGAAGACTTTTCTCAAATTTATTACGATCATAATTCATTAATAGAGTAGCTTAATACTGCGCCATCTTTTCTCTTTTTTATTCATAGGTTATTTCTGATATCTGCATATATCCAAGAGTATTTCAGGAAACATATGTTTAAGGTTTATTCAAGCTTGTTCGTATATCGAATGTTCGATAGATATCATATTTACGTTTATTTTTATGATCTCATTTTAGATTGAATAAATAAATAGTTAAATAATGGATAATCTGATGGATGATGTAAATATGTGTGTAGATAATAACAGTGAAGAAGAAGTTCAGATTGCAAAATCATCAAGTGTCTCGACATCAACATCGTGCCGAAAAATTAAAAAAAAAGGTGTTTTTCGTAGTGAGTGGTTGTCGAGAAAAGAATACTTGTCTTGGTTGCAGGAAGTGAAGTGTGATGCAACGAAAGGTCGATGTCGAGTTTGCTCTAAAACGTTTTCCGTATACAGTGATGGAAAATCAGCAGTCGACAAACATATGAATGGCAATAGCCATAAAACATCTATGAAAGTATTTCAAGAAAATTCTTCATTAACAGTATTCTTGGTTCCACAACATGAATCAGATACAATTTCAGCTGCTGAAGGCGTTTTTATCTATCATGGAGTCAAACATGGTCATAGTTACAATTCTCAGAAATGTACCATTAGTTTAGTTCGAAATTTGTTTGAATCTTCGTCGTCTGTGGCAAAATTAATGTCTTGTGGTAAGACTAAAGCAAGATCCATGACATGTAATGTGCTTGGTCCTTATTTCACAAGAAAACTTATTGATGATTTATCAAAAGCACAGTTTTATTCAATATCTGTCGATGCATCAAATAAAGGAAATCGTAAAATGTTCCCATTTGCTGTTCAATATTTTGCCGAAACAGGTGTTGCTCGAGATAATTATTTTTTTTCATTTGAAATTGTATATTTTTTCTATACGCACATGAGTTTCCTTTGATTACTCAGGACTGGTTGAATTTATTGAAGATCCACATGAATCTGCCAATGATATCGTCAAAAATATATGCAAAATTATCAAAGATCATAATTTGAAAATTGAAAATCTAACTAGTTTAGGTGCTGATAATGCCAATGTTAATTTTGGTGAATACCACTCAGTGTTTAAACTATTAAAGGATTTACAACCTCGTCTACGAAAAGGTAAATATAAACATGTATTTTCCGAGTTTGTTTTTATACATCTCGATTTAAACTATGTATTCGTACTATTGTACTTTAGGAAATTGCTATGGTCATGTGCTTCATAATTCAGTAAAAACTGCTCACGATGATCTACCTATTGATATTGAAACTATTTTATGTAAAGCTTACTCGTATTTCTCGAGATCTGCAAAACGACTTGAAAGTTTGAAAGAATATTTTGAGTTTGTTCAAGTTGATTTTGACGTGAGTTATTCATTCTTAAACAGCTGAAAATTAGACGAACAATCTACAAAACTTTACATTTCTTCTCTTAAGGTCTTGTTGAAACATATTAGCACGAGGTGGTTGAGCTTGTTGCCCTCAATTGAACGTTTACTTGAAAAATTCGAACCGGTGAAGCAGTTTTTTTTAAATCAACCAACATCAACAAAAGCTCAACAAGTTTTAAATGCTTTCTTTCAAAACGATGAAGGTCTTTGTATCCTGAATTTTTTACAAAATGTGCTTACTGAAATCCAAAAGGCTGAATTACAATTACAACGTTCAAATACAACAGTAGTTGATCTTCATTTCATAATTACTAATCTAATCAATAAATTACGTCAAAAATTGGTCGATAAATTTTATGGTAATAAAACACGTTTAATCTTGAATCAATTAAAACAAATTGATCAAGCTAAAAATGAAGAATTAACAAAAGCATTTGAATTATTTATCGATACAGTCATCGTTTACATCAAATCTTATTTTGACAGTGACAATGAATTTTATGAAAAACTTTCCTTTTTTAATGCTAAATCATTTGAATTTCTTACTTGGGAGAAATGTTTAGATGTTGTTGATATACTGCATATTGATGATTTAGATATAGACAAATTACACAATGAATTTTGTGATATTAAATATTTATATGATAATTTAAACAAGAAAAATATCAAATTGAGTGATCAAATTAATTCATACATTTCGAGTAAAACAAATTCTATTAGTTCATCAACAAAAATCAGTTTGGAATGTATTGCATTTGATGATGTTGATGATGAAAATATTGCTCAAGTTCCGGAAGACCACAATATTGACAATTCTATTCGATCCGATCAATTATGGTCATTTCTCTTAAATTATAATCCAAATTCAGCACCAAATTTATACAAACTGATTTGTTATGTATTCTCTATACCATGTTCAAATTCATATGTTGAATCGATCTTTAGCCATATGAAACATGTATGGTCTGATTATCGTAATCGCATGGACATAAAACTAGTTAGTGCTGAACGTAAGATAAGAATGAATGCTAATTATTCTTGTGAACAGTTCTACAAACATATTTTAACTGATAAACATTTATTGCAGCAAATTCGAAAAAGTGAAAAATATCAATAGTATGGAACTCATATTGAATGAGTCTTTTTTTTAAATATCTCTTGATGTATATAGTGTATTTCTCGATTTGTTTTTGCTCATTTTATGTGAAAAAAATTTTGAGTTTAGTAAAAAGTCTGATACTAGATGTTTTTGCTAGTTTGTGTGATATTCGGTGAACTACATATTTTTATTATTATTGTTTTTTTTATGTTAAATATCTTCGAAAAAAAATGAAGAATAGATGAACAAATTACAACTAAAGCATTTTGTAATAGTTTGGTAAAACAATAAGTACCAATTTCAACATATTAGCCTTTCTGATTTTTTTCTGATTTTGGAAAAAAATTCTGAATATTTTCTGATTTTGATAGTCGAAATTTCTGATTTTTAAATTTTTGATCTGGCAACCCTGCTCTTAGTGATCTTGTATGAATTGTAAAGTTCTATTACAGATCAATAGCGTTCAATAGTTGAGTACACAACAACTGTCTTGTTCGTTTTTATTAGACTTTTCTTTACCAATACTTTATTTAATGATTATTTGTCGTTTGTCTTTCAATTATATATTTTTCTAAAACTTTACTCAGGATATTTGATGTATTGTCCAACTAATTAATTTCAGTTCTTGAGCTAATTTTAAATTTATTATTACATTCGTCTTTGATTTCAGTAGCTTGTAATATGGAATGCAGATTAGTTTTAAACAATCGAACTGATACTGAAATAACCAACTATGATATGTCCGGTTGGTTTCAT